CAGCCTCCCTTATCTATCCTGTCCTCTCCTGCCTCCCATTGGACTCCTGGACCTTCAGAGATGCAGAAGTTCTTGGAGAAGAGCCAAGACTTAGGGTAGGGATGAATCCATCTCAGAATACACAGTGAGCCAGTAACCTTTCCCAAAAATTCAAGTTCCTTGGATATCTCCCTTTTATCCATCCGCCAGAGGGAGATATTCCAGGTGGGAAGTCTTCTTACCATGCCCCTCTGGGGAAAACCCATAGGCACACCACACACTTCTGCTTCCTAAGGTCCCCCCACCCATGCTCTTGGGTCCTAAGAAGGTAGCCACACTCGATAGCTCCCGCACCATCTTAATCCTAAACCCTCCCCCTTTCTTCCTACCAGTCTAGACATCCCTCCAAGTCTCCATGGCTGTGGTCTTCCAGGAGCTTCCCGCCCACGTAACTCTCCCCTGACCTCCTCAGTCCACAGTTGTGGCTTCAATGGGACTCCAGTCACTCACCCCTTGAATGCCCCACCACTGTCTGAGGAATCTCCAAGGCCAAGAGACCACATTTCTGCATCCCTTTCCCTCACGATTCAGCTAAACTCAGCCAGGGTAGGTCAAGAAACACCTCCTGAACTGTCTGGAGTTGGAGGAACAGCTAGAAATACTGACCAATCCATCAGCTGGAGCAACCAAATGCTTTCTCTCCCTCCCCCTAAAATTAATGTGCCCCTCCCCACACATGCACAGAAGCTCACAGAGGCGCTCCATGCCCTGTGTACATGTGATAGCACCTGACCTTTGGGCACTGATGACGCTAAGCCCACACGTCCTCCACATTATGGGCACACATATGTTCGTGCATGTGTGCGAAGTTGCTTTAGTCGTGTCCAACTCTTTGCAGTCCTACGGACGGTAGTGCTTCAGGCTCCTCTGTCCATGGGATTCTCTAGGCAAGAATACTGGAGTGGAGAAGTGAACTAGGAAGAGCTCCCCAAGCAGGCAAATGGGATTTCAGTATTTGCCTCCCTGCTAACTGACTGTGTGACCTTGGGCCAGTTACTTCATGCCATGCCCTCCTCCAGCGGATCTTCCCGACTCAGGGATCGAACCCATGTTTCCTGCACTGAAGGTGGATTCTTTACGGCTGAGCCACCAGAGAAGCCTCATACATATATTACATATACTCATTACACACACACACACAAGCTCACTCAAACTCCAGGGTCTAATCTGACCCAGGCCTGAGTCTGCCCCTCCGGCCCCCAGGATTGAGTCTGAGATGGGCTTCACCCTGGTCAGACTGCTGGGTTGCACTACAGCAGAGAGGAGCAAAGACCGAGAAGGAGGAACCAGCCCCTACCCACGGCCCCTCCCTCCTCTTCCTGGATTAACCCACGCCATCAAGTCCACTCCCAACCAGTCTAAAGCCCTGTCCCAACTACTAAAAAGCTCGGGTTGCCTACCCACAGCATCCCATGCTAGAGCTTTGGGCATACAGATACCCCTGAACTCCGAACTAAGGCCCACACACCACTATGCTTAACCCTCCCTGAAGTTTTCTCCATGAATTGGTAAACAAAACTCCATTACCTATGACTGATCAACAATCAGCTCTGAAAGTGCAAGGGTGTCACAGGAGCAGAGGGACAGAAAGGGAACAGTGATGGCAGAGAGTGAGGGGAATGACTGATAAAATTAGCATATGGATAAGTATACGGTCAAGAGAAAACTGCCCACTCATTCAGTACATGTGTATGGAACATCTACTCCTTGCTGGTCACTGAACTGGGCCCTGGGGCACAGCAAGAAGAAGGAAGGCTCGCCCTCTGTCTCCCAGAGCTGAGATGCTCAGGCCTACTGTTCATCAGGATCACCCAGAGAGCTACTTTATAAACTTTCCTGGGTCTCAGCCTGGAACTCCTAAGAGAACATCCTGAGCAGGCTCTAGGAATTCGTATTTTAAGATTTCTTTGAGAGATGGATGCAACCAGTGTATAGTCTGACATTTGGCATGGCAGGTTATTAAACAATAGCAAAATCCTACATATATTATGATATGCAGGAGATATGCTGTGAGTTCTGAGAACCTGGAGGAGGGATTATACAGAAATACAGAAAAATAGAATATAGATAAGCCAGATGCTCAGGGCTAGAAAGAACCCTGGAGTTCATTTTATTCAACCTTACAGATCAGGAACTGAGACCCAGAAAAAAAGACAAAGCAAGAGTTGATGAGATGATAACCATTATAGACATATGCATATACTGTCAGCTGCTAAAGATCTATAGAGATGGAAGTTTGATGTGGATGGTAGATATATAGAAGGTAAAACAGAGTAGATGATAAAGAGATAATCAACAGTCAGGTAAACAGGAATTATTGTTCAGAGAAAAGATAGAATTAATAATAAACAGGAAATATAAATTAACCAGCTTTGTGGAGGCAATTTAATGAGAGTAGACAGAAGTACATGGCTAGATATAAAGTAGCTATCTGTTAGGGACAGAATAGAGAGCTCTGAGAGACAAATATAGATATTGACAGTAGAAATAGATGTCAGGGGGCTGATGGGAATGATTGAAGCTTGACAAATAGCTGATAGTTAGATTTGACAGGTAAGCTTGCCTGGCAAATACAGCAAGATGGATAGATAATTAGTTAATTATATAGCCTAGATCTCAATGATAGTTACAAAAGGGACAGAAAGCAGCTCTGCTGATGAAAAAGACTGAACTAAGAATCAGTAATTCCAGGTGTAGATCTTATTATAACAATAACTTGACATATTACTTTCAACAAAGGGAAGAGAAGTACTGGGGGTGATCATTAATATTATTTGAGTTCAAATTAGGTATCTTTTGATCCTTAAACCTATTTTCTGGATGATGAAACCAGAACTCAGAGAAGTTGAGTAACTGGCCCAAGGTCACACAGTTAGCAGAGAGGCAAATACTGAAATCCCATTTGCCTATTTGGGGAGTTCTGCCTACTTCATTTCTACATCTTAAAGGCCTAACCTGGAAAGAAAGGATTCTACAAGGAGGTTTCCCAGGCTCAAATATCACACAGTTCTATTATTTTGTTTGTTTCATGTGCTTAAACCAGCTCATTTATACATGCAACAAGAATAGCCATGAGTTTTGATAGTTAACAAAGCTGGATCCATTTTATTTTCTATCTGGTTTTCTTTTAAATATATGTTTAAGCACATTCTAATAAAAATGAGAGGAAACAATCATTAGGTTTACTAACTGGCATTGTTAGGTCCAAATATTGACAGGTAGATAAGTTCAGTTGAAAGAAGGTCAATTAAAAATGCTCTCACTGAACTAAAAAGATGGACGTTTAAAAACAATGACATTATTTCAACAAGTGTTAATCTGTGGGTCGTGGACATAAATGGTTTTGTTTTCTTACACTTCTGCAATCACTTTTAATAACTAATACTTTTTAAATGAAAGTAACTATAAATACCATTCCTAAAATGACACCTTGTTTTAAACAAAAATTTTAAAACATTTGCCAAGAGGGAAAAGTGGGTGTTATTTTATTAACTTGTTTTTTAAAAATACCTTCTTTACGTTTTTAAAACTTAAGTCCGTTTTTTTGTGAGCTTGATCTCTGCAGTTAGAACAGACCGGCTAGCAAATCTGAAAAAGCCCGCGCCCTGCAGCAGAGACAGGAGCAATGCATTGATGAAATAAGGCATCAGATGGGTAGGACATAGATACCAACATGCGTCGTGAGCAGGAAAGAGTGAGGTCGGGGCTGGGGACGAGGTTGGGTTTGGACTCCCACATGAAGCCTTCTATCTAGTCTCACTGCTAACCCAGGAGACCCCAGGCTGCACACACACCTCACCCCCGCCCTCAGCCCGGCACCATCTCTCTATCGGGACTCGGGTGGAAGATGGTGGTGTGAGAGGCGAGCAGAAAAAGGAGCGGAAGATGAAATGCCGGCGGCGGGCGAGAGCCGCTGGGCCGCCAGCCGACCTCTCTCTTTGCGAATCTGGAAGCTGTCGGGGACGCGAGGGAGTTAAGGTCTCGCAAAGCCTACCCAGTTACAGAAATCTGCCTCCAGGGCAGCAACCAACCACCCCAGCGCGCTGGACTCCGGGCGGACCGAGAGCTCAGCAGTGCTTCCAGACAACATTTATTTATGGCAAAGTCTTTACTTACAATAAGGACAAGTCTGCCTCCCTATAGTTCCCTTCTAGTTCTTTAATTTTTTTTAATCAATTACAAAAACACTACGTGGTGATTGTAATTTCATCTAGTTCAAATCCCTTCAATGCCATCGGAGTTTATTCCCTCCCCAACTCAACAGCCCTTCAAGTGATGAAAACAGGCCCTGAATACCAGAACCTACTTTCCCACCGTTTCCAGGTCCCGCCGACGCCCGCGCACACACACCACCGTTTCAGCGCGGTGCCAGCCTGCCTGCGCTGAGACCGGGGCCGGCCTCGGACCCCGGGCAAGGGCGCGCACTCCCGGCTAACCTTCTGCTCTTTACAGCCCGGGGACCCGTGGTCTTTCTCGCCACCGCGAGGCCTTCGCCCCCGTCGCCCCTGCACGGCAGCGGAGCCAGTACGGGACAGGCCTGGGAACCTCACACACCTCCGAGCGCCCCCAGAACTGTGGCGGGAGAAGGGCGGCAGCCACCGCAGCGCTGAGACGACACCAGAGGGCCCGGGCGGGCGCGGAGTGACCGCGGCCTGGGTGTTCCGCGCTCGGCCGGCTCCCCAGGGCGCCCGCCGCCTCCTGACAGCTGGCACCTCCCGTGGGCTGTGTGAGCCGGGTCGGAATAAGGTTTGATCCCAGCCTCCGGGTAGGTCCTTAGTACTTAATAAAAGTCCTGTGGCCCCTTCGAGGCTGTACGCAGTCGGAGGGAAGACAGTCATGGCGGGAGCGCCGCAGGGGTGGCGGGAGGAGCCGGGGCAGGCTTCGGGACGAGGCCGGCCTCTCGGGCACCCGCCCGGCCCACCTCCACCTGGCCCCCGGGCATAGCTTGGACCATTCATTACCTGCGTCTCGGAGAGGCTGAGGCTGCCGGCCAGCTGCTTCCGCTCGGCGCCCACCACGTAGTGGTTCTTCTCGAAGGCACGCTCCAGCCGCAGCAGCTGCGAGGGCGAGAAGGCCGTGCGGATCCGCTTGGGCTTGCGCGCGAAGGGGCCGTGCAGAAGCAGCCCGTCCTGGGGCACGTCGCTCGCTGTGGCCGCGTCGCCGACGGCAGATACAGACAGAGAGAAGGGCACCGTGAGCTGCGGCCCGGCCGCCTGCGAAGCCAGCCAAGCTCGGCCCTCGCGCCTCGCTCGCACACGCCCCGGAGCGCGCCGCTGCACTCTCCCACCCTTGACACACGCACACCCACGTCTCCTCTTTCCCTTCAGTCCACTCCTTTCCCCAATACCTCCTCTTGGCTGAGAGCTATCTGGTCAGGGGACGCCCGGAATCGCAGCCCTGCGGATCACTGTTGGCTCAAGAGGCGGGCCGGGTCTGGAGAGGCGCCCAGTGCCTGAGCACCCTAAGAGGCCAAGGGAAGCTCTCTTTGTCTGGTATGCCCCGTCGCGTCTCCCTCAAAGTGGACCAGGGGTCGAGACGGGGCTGGGTGTCAGGAAAGTGGCAAGGGGCCCAACCTGGCTATCAGGCATCCCCGTACCAAACGCAGATTCAAGAACTGAGGGTATCTTAGGAACTCTCCCTCACACCTGCTTAAACCAGCCTTGCAACTAAATGCTCAGGCTACTAGCCCATAGAAAATTCCTGCCAACAGGCGGAGGCTCTGCCTTGCAAGTGGCCAAAATAGGCCAGGGGCCAGGTCAAAATCCAGACAGCATCTGGAGGTCTCAAGTTAGGTTACTTCTTCCCAACATCCCACCTCTCTCCCCCCAGGTCTTCAGATAAAATCCTCTTCCTGCAGACTTACTGCTCTCTGGTGGAAAAAGACCTTGCTTCATCCCTGAATAATCTCCTGCTGAAGAGACATGTGTATAAATAACTAGATGTCATCTTTCTCCCTAATAGATATAGATATATTAGTTTCTGCATGGGCTTATGTAAATATATGCTCCAGCCTCCCTACTGAGTTTTTCTCCTATCTACCATACAGGATTTTCAAAGAGTGTCTAACAGTCCCTTGGCAAATGTTGGCCATCATGGGGACTCAGCTGCTACATGCAGGAGAAGGGGCTGACATTGGGCTGAAGAGGGCTGAGGTAGTAGGGTCAGGAACTACAAAAGCTGGAACAAGCTTCCATCCATAGCCCCAGTCTCAAGGAATCCCCCCACTAGGCCCTCACACACCTCTGGCTTGGTTGCACACGCTAACAAGACTGGAAACAGGCCCTGACACCATCCGTGGATTCTCATGCAGTGGCGCATACCAGTACCCCAACCCACCAAGAATGCAGAGGACTTCATGAAATGTTTTGACAGTTAGCAGTTGAGATTGACTGATCCAATTAATTTCTTCAGAAATGGCCACTGGTTTGACTCAATTTGATTTGTTGTTTTGTTCTTAAGACAATTGTTTGGATAATTCAGTTGAGCTCTTCCATCTCTGGAAATATCTCTGTAAGTGAGGCAAGGACGCATAATTGAGATGCTGTTGCTACAACTCTCCAGGTACCTGTTCATGTCCCTCTTCTGGTGGAAACTGCCTGACCTGATTTCCTCCAAGTCTGTGGGCTTTGGACATCTACATAGGAAAACTTGATTGCTGGGGTTTTCTGGGTAACAGCGTTTTCTAGGAATGAGTGGCCAGTGCCTGGGCAGGGAGACAGAGTCCCCTGAGAGGGAAAAGCTATTAACTTCCAGTCGCCTTATCCATTCCAAGTGACTGAATCTGTGCTGCTACAAAAGTGAGTGGGATCACATCACAGGAAGATAGAGGGGTTGTGGAGTGGGGGGACACCCTGCCCACTGGGTCCTTCAAGGTGGGGGCAGATTCTCAGGCCTGACAGAAGGAAAAGTTTAGCTTGTGGTGATGGAGGGGATAGATGATTAGGGGAGGTGGTCTGGCAGAGAGGGGTAGGAGGGAGAGAAAGGAGGAGAAGGATCCAGGTGGGGAAAAGGACTACAGCCTCAAGTGCGAGCCAGTGTGATGAGGCCAGAGAAAGGTGGGAGAGGTGGATGGGAAGCAAACACTCCTTGTTGATGTTAAAATAAATTGCTTCAAAAAACAATAGCATTCTGAGCTCAAGTCAAATACCAACAGTGGTTTTCTCTGGACAAATGAGCTGGAGAGGGAGAGAAAGCCTAGCACACCCCTGTGATCACAGGGTTTGGCCTCAGCAACTTGACAGGGCCCAGGCTGGTCAGAAATGAAGTGGCAGTGTGGAGACACCCTCGATTTGTGAGTGAATGGGATGCAGAAGTGTGAAGGGTAGTGTGGGGCTGAGAAAGCAGGACTGCAGCCTGCCTCAGTGTGTGATTTGATGGGTGTTTTATAATTCCATGCTGTGTGTTGGTCACTTGTGTGGTGGAGTTCTCTGTGTTTATCTTTATAAGCCCAAAGTGGAGGATGGAAACAAGCTTCTCTGTCCTGACACATAGGACCATTTGGCTCAAGTCTGGCTATTTTAGGGGAAAGATAGGATGCTTGGGGTCCTCTTCAGCTGGGGAGAGAATAGCAGCAGTTCATTGTAACCCCCCAGAGGGGCAGATAGCATGTATCCTGTAATCTGTGTGTGCATGTGCAGAAACATAGAAGTCCAGACCCAACCAAGAAGAAGCAGAGACCAGGAAAAACTACTCAAGATGCTGATTACTGATGAAAAAGATATGATTTCAAAAGAAGCAGGGTTTTTTTTCCTGTAAGGAAGAATATGTTTAGTACAAAATCAACCATCCTGAGAAATTGAGTAATAGTTTCATGTTTCTGTAAGAACCAGGGTGTGCCTATGAGCCTGGGCCGCTCTCACTCTGATCTATGGAGAAGGGACCTCAACCGTCCCTACCTTGGCTTCAGTCTGCCTTAATTGGACCACAAGGGCAGAACAAGCTCTGGGACTAGGGTTGCGGTGTGGCCTGTTTAGAGACAGTAGTTCTGGGCTGTGAGAGTAGGCTGTCAGTTTCAGGCAAGGACAAGGTGGAAAAGTGGAAAGGGGCTGGCTGTCTTCCCTGTAGCTAGTAACTGAACCCCACTCTGCCCCGTTTTCCTCCAGCCTCTCTCTGCAGGTTCCTTTAAGGCAATGGCTGGGAACTAGCAATCGACGTTCCCAAGACTGAGGTGGCAGGAACTGGAAACTAGGGATTCGAAGGCCTGAGGCCCAAGCTGCAGTGCCTGCTGGAGATGCTCTGGCAAGCTGGGGGCTCTGGGCCGGATGGCGAGGCGGAGGGGCCTGGGGCTACGAGAAGGAGAAGCCCGCCGGTGAACGGAGATAACCTATTCCCCCCTCCCCCTGCCGGAACAAAGGCTCCCTTTGAAGCACCGGCCCATTACCACCACCAGTCCCGAGGGCCGCCTAATCTCCACCGCCCCCTCCCGACGCAGCTTCCCGGCCGGGAAAGTTCCTGCTGTCCGAGGGAAATAGCACCGAAGTGCGGCTAACTCGCTGTCTCCTCCAGCCCCTCCTCTTCAGGCCTCGAAAGCCGCCTCCGGCTTCGGAGTCCCGCCGCCTGGTCCCGACCATTCCGCACTGACTTCTGTTCTCCCAGCGCCTTGCTCCGCGGAGAAGCCGCTACCCTGCGCGCCGGGACCTCCCTGTTGCAGAGCGCTGCGCACAGAACGCAGACGTTTTCCTTTTCGTTCCTGTAGGGTTTCGCTTCTTGCACTGAAACGGGGATGAAATGAGCATCGCAGAGACCCGGTTCTCTAGAAAACGCGGCGCCGGAGGGCCTAAAATGACTCGGCTCATATCCCCGAGGGCCCCCGAGGACGCAAGGACGCCCGGGCCGCAAGGCCTCTGCCCTGACGCTGACCAGCCCTGAAGCCAAAACCTCTCAGAATTAAAAAAGTCATTCCGTGCCCAACGGACTCTCCTGTTCAAAAATGCGACCACGTTTGGCTCCATCTCCGCGTCCAGACACAGTTCTTGGGAGAAAAATGCAACCGTTTTTGCAACTAGACAACGTGCCCGCCGGGGCTGAAGGCTCAGAGAGCGGCGTCAATTTCCGAGAGGATTTTGCCGAGGATTTATTCAGCCTCGTCTGACTGGGGATGCTCAGAGCCGGAGCTGGATCTCTTACAAGGCGTTCCCTGGTGCCCCGGCCCTCGAACCCTAAAAGCCGGTGTCGGCGAGGTCAATGGAGGGAAAGGAGGCGCGGAGGGCATGGGGCGCCCGGTCTAAAGCCGAGGGCGTCGCCGGGGAGGCCATCTCCGAGTGAGCAGAAACCACAGGGGTCAGGACCGGTTCTGTCCTCTTCTTCGAGCTCCTGTCTCTCCTCCGGTCTGCTAACCGCCCGTCCCTCCGCCGCCCCAGCCGGAGGGTTCACAAACAGCCGCGACTTTCAAATTGGCCTGCAGTTGCCAAGTTTAGAGACCGGGGACCCAGCCCACGGAGGACCGAGGTGGTTTGCTCAATTTAAAATAATACTTAATTTTATCAGTAAACATTTATTTTAATTGACAGACTTCTTTCCCATAGCAGCTGACACTATAGGCATTTTGTTGTTGTTGTTCCGGATGATTTGGGCAAATCTTTGAAATCCCCAGAGCAGACAAGACTTCCCACAAAAATTCTTGCTCAAACAATTACATTACCTTATTTTGTGGGATCTGCTGGGCCAGTATCTATTAGCCAGATGGGACTCAGAAAATTGTCTGACAAATTGGGGTGGGGAAAGCGGCTTTCCATGATACAGTTAAACAGCTATAGCCAAAGCTTCAAGAGGTCATTTTCTTCTGTTATCTAGATAATTGTACCAAATACCCAATTTATTTTGACTGTGTAGATCCAGTTTACCACCAGATCAGCTCCAGGAGCAAAGCTCTAATCACGTCCTTTTCGTTTGTTTTGCTAAGAGCCAGTTTACCTAGTTCTGAGTCAGGTCTGAGTAAGGCTGAGGTCTGGTCTACACTAACAAAATAAAACTGAAAACTAAACCAATTACTGCACAAATTAAGACCATTCCCCCCCCCAAAAAAAAAGTGAGGGCGGGGGGGGCGCAAGAAGAAAGAAAAGAAAAGAAAAAACCAATACAAAGAAGAAAACGAACTCCAACTAATGGAACTCTTTGCTTGGAGAAAGTCAGACCACTGAAACCTCTGTGTGTGTGTGTGTGTGTGTGTGTGTGTGTGAGAGAGAGAGAGAGAGAGAGAGGAAGAGAAGTGGGGGGTCTTCCTTACCAATCCCATTGCCCAGTGCAGACTAGGGGGCTCAGACTGCCTAAGACCTTAACAGCCCTCTGCCCCCGCCCCCTGCCTGGGAGGACTGCAGTCGGTACCCCAGCAGCCTGTAGGTTCCCGGAGTCCGCGAGCGTCGCGGGAAGCCGGTTTGCTTTGGCAAACCTTCCCACCCGGGTCCGAGAGGCACGTGTGACTTGGAGAAGTCGGGCCGAGGTTGCTGAGAAACGTCCCCAAACAGAGGAGCACTCAACACTGAACATTAACTCTCCAGTTTCCCCTCCCTCTGCCCCTTCTCCTCACAGAATCGGGACAAGCAGGTGGACTTTCCCCTGTCTCCTTGCGCCAGCGAAGGCGGGTCCCTGGGAGTTGGTTGTGGAAGTGCGAACGTAGTATGGTCCCAGGTCCAGCTGGGTCAGAGGGAGGGCGGCCGACGCTGAGTTCTCTGGGATGGGACTGGCTCAGCCTGGAGACATTAAGGCAGGCCGCACGGAGGACCAGGAGAGGCTCCAAGGATGCGCCCGGGCTTGGCGTCCGGACCGGCATCATTCCTGGAAAAGCCTGGAGGTCCCAACCTGGTTCTCTGGGAGGGAACCCAACTGGCAGAAGAGCGAATGGATCTGGCGCGGCTCTTCCCTGCTTAGGAATCGGCCTCTGTGGACCCGCAACCTTTTCTGACACAACTTCTGAATGGCCCCGGACGCCCCCGAGCCTCCCCCGCGCCTCCGCAGCGCGGGCGCCGGCCGGCCGCCGAGGCGGGCACAACGTGGGCACTCACCCTGAAAGCGGTGGCCGAAGAAGCGGTTCCGCAGCACCCAGGGATAGAAGTGCAGAGGGTCCCGGTGCTGGGCGCCGAAGAAGGAGTGCGGGGGCTGCAGCGGGGAGGCGCCCAGCTGGTGCGCCGGGTGCACGGTCAGCGCGTGGTGGTTCATGGCCTCGGGGAATACGAGCTCGGGACCGCCGTAGAGCGAGCGGCCGGCGCCCGCGGCGGCGGGGAAGCCGCTCACGAAGGCCGCTTCGGCTGCGCTGGGGTGAGGATAATTGAGCGCCGTGGGCCGGAGCGGCTCCTCCGAGGCGGTCGCCGCCAGGGGATGGGAGCCTGCGCCCCCGCCGCCAGTACCCCCTCCAGTACCGCCGTCCTTGGCTACCAAAGACTCGATGGTAAAGCCGCGCTTGGCTGTGGGCTGGAACATGGTCGCGGCCGCCAGAGCCGAGCGAGGCACCCGGGCTCTGGGGAGCGCTCCGCGTCCTGGCGCCGCCGCCGTGCGGGGTGTGCACCCAGCCAGGCACATGCACACACACCAGCACCCTTCACCTCCCCCGCCCGCCCGCCCGCGCTCAGCCCCTGCCCACAAGCCAGGCGCGGTGCGGCAAGGGGCGTGAGAGCCAGCGAACGCGGAGTCGGGCCACGGCGCGAGGCTAGGCGCGCCGGCCTCCGCGGCCAGGCGGGCAGCTCCCGGCGCCGGCACCGGCGCGGGCTCCGAACGAGGCTGCGAGCTGCCTCTACCGCCTGGGGACTGAACCCGGCCCCTTCCCTTCCGAGTCCAGCCAGGACCGACCCCCGCCCCCGGTCCTCCCAGCAGTGTCCTGCCCGGCCTCGGCCACCGCGCTGCTAGGCGAGAGTTAGCGGGCACCTGCCCCGCGCTCGCCCATTGGCCGCCGCTCACCTGCCCCAAGGTGGGGGGCGGGGCGGGGCGGGGCGAGGGACCGCGGGAAGGGAAAGGAGCCAGCAGTCGGAGGCAAAAACCGGACTGGAGCTTGCGCGGGGCGAGCTAGGCCTCCTCCTCCTCTCGCGTCTTCTCGCATCCCTGCCCTTTAGCTGAGTCTGGCGGCAGCCGTGAGCGTCTCCACCCAGGCCGGAGCCGAAGGAGGTGTGTGAGGGGTGAGGGGTCTGGGGCTTGGGAGAATCTCCAACCCCACTCCCCCGTGTGCAAATCAGTTGAACCCTCTCCAGTTCGTCCCGGGATGTCGTTTCAGTTCTCAGATAACTTGAATTCGAGTGCAATGTGGGTGTTTGGGGTCCAACGGATAAATTCTCCTGAGAACTTGTTCCCCTGGCCTCAAGGACCCTCGGGACCTCCCATCGTCCGTCTCCTGGGACGCAATCTGAAGCCGCGGCCTTGCTCCTGAGGTTTCGCGTTTTCTGGGTGGTAAGGGAGACAGCTTCGGAAAGCGGACTAGTTATTTTCAGAAGAGGCCAGGCCAGGGAAAGCGCTAGAGGAGCTGGCGGAGTGGTCACCCAGACGTCTCAAGCTGCAGTTCTCCGGGCTTGGAAGCAGGTCCTTGGCCCAGCCACGAGCATCGCGACCGGCTCGCAGGGCCATCTGCTTTCCTCGTCTTCTCTGATTGCGGAGCTTAGGTGCAGGCGGTCCAGGACAGGCCAGGGCCTTGAAGACACTGTCTTACGTTGGAGGTGGCCGAACAGTCCACAGCCATCGCCTAAGACCCTCCAAGAAGACACACAGGCCATCCCGGGACCGTAGCGGCCGCCTGGCTTCCTCCGACCCTCACCTTCCACTCGCGAACGCGGAGCAGCAGACTAGTCTGCTCCAGCCAGTTTCCATTTCGTGCACTGATTCGTCGGGGATGAGAGGGCAGTTGGGAAGGAGAACCAGTACTCAGCAAACTTTTCCACCAGGGCCTTCCAGGCCGCAGGAAAACACAGCATCCAGGCCTAAGAGGACACTAGGCGGTGGTGGGGAGGCTGGGACCCGCACCCTGCCCGTGCACTGCGAGAAGCCGATCTGCTTCCTCGCTGCTGCCCGTCTTAGTCAGAGCGGCCTGGCCGGGATGCGCGGATCCCGGCAGGGCGTCCCGGCGCCCAGAGGCCAGAAGGTCCTCGTGCCGCGAGGCTCTGCAAGGACTCCAGGCCAGGTCTTGAGAGTGGCCTGCCTGAGCGCCCGGAGTCTCGGCCGGGGAGAGCGCTCCGGGCGCCCTTGTTGCCACAAAGCGGGTTAAAGTCTATTTTCCACTCGACTGGTCCGAAAAGCCCCCGCGCGCCGAAGCCGTTCCGGCCCCCTTGGGAGAGGTGGGGAGGAGACAGCGAGGGGGTGGGGGTGAGACTGCCGCGCCCTGCCGCCGGTCGCGTCCAGAGCAGACCCGGGCGGAGCACCTCGGAGGCGCCCCAGAAACACCTGAGGAAGGAGTCGTTACTGAATTCGTGGCGAGGGCTTGTGTCTCTCTTGCTGGCCCCTCCGGTTCTTCCTGGCTCACTGTGCTGGTCTCTCCGTTTCTGTCTCAGGCTGTCTGTCTGTTTCTCCCTTTGCTGTCTCTTTACCGCCCTCCCCCCGCTTCCCCTCTGTTTCTCCCCCATCTCCTTTTGCCTCCTCCTCCGTTCTGGGGAAGGAGAAGCTCCCCTGAGTGGGGACAAGGACGTCACCAGGCCATATCGCTGGGGTGGTGAGGGTGCGAAGCTGGGCAAAGACATGGAAGCGAGATTTTCGTTCTATGTGGAAGGAGACAACGTGAATTTTGCTGGAACAAGGTCCCCGCAGGGAGGCAGGTTTAGTTGGATAAGCAACAGCCGGGCCTGTTCTCTGAATGCCGCGAGGAGGGACTAAGTGTTTGGGCCTGTGGCCGAGAAGACTGGAGCCGGATCGGGCTGAACTCGGGCCCGGGCTTTGTTTCCCTAGCCGGTGGTGAACCTCACCTGTCTAGCTGCAGGCCTCCACCTCCTACCTCACTGCAAGGCCAGACACTGACCCCTGAACTCACTAAATAGGGCAGGTAGAGGAGCTTGGGATCTACTGGGCCATTCCTGGACACCTCTACACTGGCCACGTGGACTTTCCTCATCTAGCTCTGGGCATACATCTCCCTATGTAAATCCGTAGACCTTTATAGTGACAACTCCTTCCCTTGTTGCGCTTTCCAGATACTTGGACACCAGTTGTCTGTCATTAACCCTCTTTACAGATGAAGAAATGGACTGCACGGGACCCGTGACTGGAGTCTGGTGGTGGTCTGGGTTGAGGTGGGACAGTTCAGTGGGCCTGGCCTGGATCAGGTTCCGCCCCATTCTACCCCAACCCCCGCCACTGCAGCTGGGCTCTCACAGGATCTGTGATGAGTGAAGGGGGTGCTAGCTTCATTTTCCCTCTCCTTAACCTCTCGCATTGTGCCTTTCTCTCACCTTCCTTTCCTGTAATTTCATAATTTCCCTCCTTCCCTTCCCTCCCTCGGCAGATACTTATCTCTTACCTGATTTCCTCTATTTCCGTTGCTCTTAGGGCCTCTTTCCCTCTTGTTGCCTCCGCTGCAGTAGGTTAAGAGAAGAATTTCTTATCTTCAGGAGGTCTCTAAGTCTCCCACTGTGTTCTGGATCCAGCATCAATGCCCTCCACCACGCCCCAAGTTTTTCTTGTGCCAGATTCCCTGCTTGGTCCCTGCAAAGCTCCCACAGGTCTCCCATTGCTTCCTCTCCTCACCAGTGGACAGCAGCCCACCTTAACTCAAACGTGCAGCGCCCCACTCCACCTCTGCTCCCCAGCCCTTCCCCTCCACTTCCCCGTCCTCCCTTTCAGGCTGCTGAGTTCTGCAGGAGCCCCCACGTTAATCATGCCTCCCTCATGCTGGAGCACCTTATAGTCCCACGCATCTGCAGGCTGCTTGCCTTTTACTCTACCGCTGCCAGAAGCACAGCACCTTCTCTGGGTTCTCATCTCCCCAAACCCAGTACTTCACTTTATTCAGAGGAGCCTGATTGCTTGCTCAGAGGATAAGACCTGAACTATCTGTCCTAGTTCTAGCCCCATACCAACTTTTCTCCCCTCTCCATCTCTGGAATAGACTGGACTCAAGTCCTGACTCATCCATTTACCAATGGTAAGCCCTGGGGCCAACAATCTTGCCTCGGCTTGCACATCTGTGAAATGGTAAGCCTTTAGTGGGGCTTCTGTAGGGATTAAATGATATAAGTTTGTGATGTCCAGGACCAATGCCTGACTCCAGAGAGGCATTCAGTGAATGTTACACTGTCTGCCTTTGCCTATGCAGGAAACCTGGGGATCATCCTCAAATCCTCATTCTTTCACATCCTCCTTATCCTACCAGTCACCAGGTCTTGAGGTCAAGTACTTCTCAAATCTATATCTTCTCCCTTTTTGCTTCTTTGCTGGCTGATTTTATTCTTCGTAACTCAGTTCAACTTCTCCCAGAACCATCCCCGCACCCCCCCCCCACCACCTCTCGCCACTCAGTCATAGCATTCCTCTGGAGGGTGGAGTTGTCTGTGGAGACATTGGTCCAAAACATCCCCAGTCATCTGCCTTTGGCCTTCCATCTTCCTCTTTCCTCTTCAGCCTACTTCATCTTCATGTCTCCCTGCCCTCGTGTTTCCCTCACCCTGTTAACTTTTCTTCTTCACCACCAGCTAAGTCTTAAATAACTTTTTGTCCCTCTTCAGCTCCCTCATTTCCTTCTTGACTCTGCAAGCCTTTATAACCTGGCTTCCATCCCCATCATATTAGGAATAAGCCTTGTAAAAGCTCCAAAACTTTTATCATGGTGCTGTTACAACAGTAATGTGTGCTTACAGAGACAATAATAAGCAAAACATCCTCATCATCTTATTGTCAGATTGAATTAGTTATAATCCCCACCCAATGGGCTTGAAGCAGTACATGTGTTAAGCACTTGATAAATGTTAGCAATTATTTTGGAGAAGGAAATGGTACCCCACTCCAGTACTCTTGCCTGGAAAATCCCATGGATGGAGGAGCCTGGTAGGCTGCGGTCCATGGTGTCACTAAGAGTCTGAGCGACTGAGCGACTTCACTTTCACTTTTCACTGTCATGCATTGGAGAAGGAAATGGCAACCCACTCCAGTGTTCTTGCCTGGAGAATCCCAGGGACAGGGGAGCCTGGTAGGCTGCCGTCTATGGGGTCGCACAGAGTCAAACACGACTGACATGACTTAGGAGCAGCAGCAGCAATTATTTTATAGAGCTGTGTTTTCCAGTATGGAAACCATGTGGCTGTTGGGTGCTCGAAATGTGGATGGCTTGAATTGAGATATTCTGTAAATATAAAATACACACTAGATTTGGAAGGCTGAGTATTAAAAATGTAAACTATATTAATATTTTCTATGTTGATTACATGTTACAATAACAATATTTGGGATATTTTGAGGTTAAACAAAATATATTATTTTTATCAATTTCTTTTTACTTTTTAAATGTAGCTACTAGA